GTTTTTCAGTGGTTTGTATATTGGGTCCATTTCAATGTGTTTGTTGATGGAGTTCCAGTTGGAATGCCAGGACTTCAGGAATTCCCTGGCATGTCTCTGGCTCGTGCTACTTTGAATGTGTTGTCCCAGTCGAATTCGTGTCCTTCTTTGTGTGTATGGAGACCAGTGAGAATTGGTGGTGTCTGTCGGTGGCTAGTTGGTGTTCGTGTATCCTTATTGTCAGTTTTCTTCCAGTTTGGCCTATGTAATGTTTTTCACAGTCCTTGCATGGTATTTTGTATGTTACGTTAGTTTTATCGGTTGTGGTATGGGATCCTTTACATTCACTGGTTGGTTGTTAGTTTGTGGGCTACCCTGATATCTAGGGACCCGAGTAGTCTTGTAGTCATCTCTGATGTACAGTAGGGTGACTAGCGTGTCTGGCTATGTTGTGGCTTCTTGTTATGGTCTGTCGCAGAGGTAACGGCAGATTGCGCTTTTTGGGTATCCATTCCTTTTAAAAACTCCATACAAGTGCTCCTGTTCAAACACATTGAACTGGGCCCAATATACAAACCACTGAAAAACAGAACCAGAAGTGATGCCAACCACCCCAGCAAACCGAGGCATTTAAGTAACAAGTGGGACACAAAACCGATGCTTCACCAGAGGTGCACTGACGATGTTACCGAACAGGGTGACGAAATGTCTGCAACCAAACAAACTGGCTCAGCGAGCAAGTCTACAACCTCATCCACAACCCAAGCTACAAATCTTCACAAAAACTTTAAGTGCACAGTACATTGAGAAATGAACATTAGTGCAATTTCATTATCTTTACAGCAGAGAACAAAGCATTATTCAAGGCTCTATGGATTCCTATGGATTAGAAAGTGTAGGCATGGATATTGCTGTCTGCATATTTTCTCCCACAATCCACCTATTTTGAAGACTCATTACGCAGTGGGAAAAACATGATCACACCCCATCACATCACACTCAATATCCATACATATACTTTCTAAATGGATAATGATCAAGTATACTGGCAATTGATGAAATAGCACGCATTGGGTTTTATTTATGAAATTATAGGGGCTGCTAGCAAGACTAGCATTTATTGCATAACATCAATATGCCTCAGGACATTGGAGACAAATTGCCTTCTTGAACTTTGTGCAATCTATGTGGTCCAGGCTTAACCACAGCGTTGTTAGGAAAAAAGCTCCAGCAACTTGAGCCAGTGACAGTAAAATGTGAATATAATCTCTGAAATAGTTTAAGGTCAGAATGGTATACAACTTGGAGAGGAGCTTCCATTTTTCCAGTTGGAATACGGAGAACAGTTTTGGGCCTCTTATCCAAGGAAAGATATACTGGCACCACAGGCAATACAAAGAAGGTTCACTAGGCTGATATCAGGTATGGAGGGATTGTCTTATAAGGAGAGGTTGAGCAGCTGGCTTGTACTCATTGAGGCGGGGGTTAATATGGAAGAATAGGAGGCAACTTCACTGAAACATACAAGACTTTTAGAGGACTTGACAGGGTAGATGTGGAAAAGTGGTTTCCCCTTGAGGGAAAGTCTAGGGCCAGAAGGCATAATTCCAGAATAAGTGATCAAACATTTAAGACAGACTTGTGCAGGAATTTCTTCTCTCAGAGGGAAGTGGATCTATAGAGGTCTTTACCACAGAGGAATGTCAAGGCTAGGTCATTCAGTATTTTCAAGTCTGAAACAGATTTTTAAATTATTTACATTTTAATTAAAGGGAACCATAGTTATCAGGAAAAGGCAAGAAAGTGGAGTTGAGGATTATCAGATCAGCCAAAATCTCACTGAATGGCAGAGCAGACTCGATGGAATGAATGGCTTACTTCTACTATTATGTCTTATAGTCAAGATGTTTATGGTGGTAATTCAGCTTTGGTAATATCATTAAATATTATAGGCAAATGATTAAATTCCCTCTTTACAGTAAATGACTGTGGCCACCTCTCAGCCCAAGCCTAAATGCTTTTCAGGTCTTGACGCATGTGTGATTGCTTTAGTATCTGATGAGTTATATATACACTACTGAATACAAGGCAATTATCAGTGAACTTTCCCATTTCTAATCTTACAATGGTGGATCATTAGGGCTGCTCTCTCAGTACAGAAGTATTGGTTTAAAACCTGAAGGTCACCACACCTCATGTGTGGAGGGAAATTGAGAATGAAAATCCTTTACAGTAATCTCAGCTGGTGTGGGAGTTGAACTCACGCTTTGGTATCACTTGGCACTGCAAACCAGCCAACTGAGCTAATTAACCCCCCAAATTACATATGAATTACCATTAAAATACAGCAACCTGCGAATCAATGTGGAAGCTATATCAGAGTCACAGTAAAGGAATCAGAACACCCTCAAAAGCACAAGTTTAAATATACTGTCAAGCTGAATTCAACAAAGATATACCCATAAAAATGTTTAAAATGGCAATAATATACTCATATCAGTAGCTGACTGTATTGTCTTCCCAGTCATAAAACGATTGGCAACACTACATGGAGGGCATCTAGTGGCACATTCATGTAAATTAACAGTACTCCCACAGCAAAAGCAATGCTAAATAATCACAGTACAATAACTACAAAACAGATACCCAAACTTTTAATAACAGTGCTTCAAGGGATGGTGTCCATACAGCTGGGGAATATGATCATTTTAATAGCCAACAGATGATCAATTCTGTATTTCATGATGCCAATTCTCCTTTATTCAATATCACATTTGAGTTTTATTCCATCCCCTGCTTAACCCCATTCACAGCTCCACACCTTTTTATCCAATACAACGCAGGAAACATATATACCTGCCAGAATATTTTCACCCACAAACAGTTGGCAGTAGTTTACACAGAAAATACACAAATGTTATCACAAGTTATTTTAGGTTATTGAAAGCAAGTAGCAGGTCATTCAAGTTTCATAGAAATAATGTACAAAAGATTTATGCAGTGATACTTCCCACTTAGTTTTGTAGGTGAAGACGGAAATAGAATACAGAAAATTGACATGTTGCAAGACAACTGGAGAAAATTCTACAAATGTCAGGTATGATGCAACAAACAAAAGGTAAACTTAAACATTTTGTTCACCCAGCTCCAATAAGATGATTACAAAACAGTGTTAACAATTGAATGAAGAACACAGGAACAGCAGCAGGTCTCACATCTTCTCAACCCAATTGCAGCAAGGTTGACTTTACATAATTCAATTTATCCATCTTTGTTGAACATGTATTTATACACTTACCTAATTAACATCTATCAATCAGTCTTAGTCTTGGAAATTTTCAATTAGTCTGTACGAAAGCTTTTAAGAAAGCAAGTAATAGATTTCTACAACTTTGTGCATCAAAAACTGCTCTCTCTCAAGTGACCTAGCTGTAATTTTGTCCCATTGCTCTGGACTCCATCAGAGGAAACTGTTTGCATCAACCATGTTGAATCATTTGGTTATTTTAAAACATCTTTATAAAGTCATCCCTCAACTTGTAAATTTAAAAATGTAAATTGTGTTCATAATTAATCCTCCAATTGCAGGTAATAGCCTGACACATTTGCACTGCACCTCCTGAAATGCCAGTATATTTTTTCCTTGACTTTTAGTGCCTAAAACTGAATGCAGTACATCAAATGGAGTCTGAACAGAACTTCACATAACTAAAGCACCACATGAAATTTAAGCTAATGTTCCATTGGATTTTGATTATTTTATAGAGTAGCCTTTAGTGCCTTGATTTAGAGGTTTATAAAATCATGAGGGACATGGACAGGGTAAATAGAAAAGGTTTTTGCCCTGGGATGGGAGAGTCCAAAGCTAGAGGGCATGGGTTGAAGGTGAGAGGAAAGATTTAAAAGGGACCTGAAGGGCAACTTTTTCACACAGAGGGTGGTCCATGTATGGAATGAGCTGCCAGGAGAAGTGATGGAGGCTGGTACAATTACAAACTTTTAAAAAGGCATCTCAATGAGTATATGAATAGGAAGGGTTTAGAGGGATATAGGCCAAATGCTGGCAAATGGGACTAGATTTACCTAAGATATCTGGTCAGCATGGACGAGTTGGACTGAAGGGTCTGTTTCCGTGCTGTATATCTCGATGACTCTATGATCCAAACTTCCACACGTCTGCCTTGATTGCAAAGTCTCAGTGGCATGTTGCAGCTACCTGCTCCCAATTTTACAATGTATCATGTCTTTCATTGTCATCAATCAACTTGGATGTAGAGGTTGCTATTTTTCCATTCAAGAGTATCAAATTAATATAAAATTATTATTTATGTTTGGAATTGGAGGCAGCATTGAGATGTGGGTCAATAATTGGGATACATTGGAAATTTTAGTCTCTATTCAGCAAGCTGTGACAAATGGCGTTTCATAATTCATTTATTGCCTCCAAGTAACAAAACCAGAAGTTGCTGGAAAAGCTCAGCAGGTCTGGTGGCATCTGTGAAGAAAAAAATCAAAGTAAACGTTTCGGGTCCGATGACCTTCCTCAGAACTCCGAGCCCAGTTCTGAGGAAGGGTCAGCGGGCCGGAAATATTAACTTTGATTTTTTTCTTCACAGATGCTGCCAGACCTGCTGAGCTTTTCCAGCAACTTCTGGTTTTGTTCCTGATTTGCAGCATCCACAGTGCACAGCATCCGCAGTGCTTTCGGTTTTTATTGCCTCCCAGTAATTCATTTAGAAAGCTCCCTAATACCACGGCTCCAAATTATTAAGATTGATGCTCTCCCTTCTTTACCAATTTGAAGACCCTACAAGCTCCCACTCACGCTCAATTTGTCATCAGGTCTCTGCAATGGCGACTACATCATTCGTACCTGTTTCAGCTGATTCTCTGTTTCTATGATATAAATAAGTCAATTGTAGTCTATGCATCGCTGTACCAAATATTTATCTGTACCTAATCTGCACATATGCCCCACTAGTCTTTTCCTCACACTTCTGAACTCACTGTCCGGATTTTTCCCTTCAAATACTGCAAGATCACAAAACAGTAAAAGGTAACATCACAATGGGATTTCAAAATCAAAACAAATGATTTTGTTCCCCAGTACATACCTATTAATTCCATTGGGTGCTGCATTATGAAGTGCTCACACAAACGAATGAACATGTTTGTTACTTCTTCGGTGGGACACTCAGCATGTCTAAACAAATCAAAATCAAAATCAAAATAAAAATATAGTCATAATCACACCACAATGACAACTGCTCAAACCCAAGCTAGCTTTTAGTTTTTAAAAACAGTAAACGTTAACCAAATTCGTGTGAATCATGAATCAACTGAACTTTCAGCTCAACAGATCTTAGTTACACATTTATAATAAGGAACATTATATATTTATTCAAGGGGTTCCTCAACTTAATAGGGTTTGGATATAGAAGCTAGTACCAGATTGGAAAAATACATTTTGGGGAAAAAGATTTCAATTTAAAAACAAAATAAAGCTGGATTAAAACAAAAACTGAACGACAAATTATGATTAGAATGTATTGAGCTATGCATCTAAACATTGCAAGTAAGTTTTTTTGTAAAAAACAGTATTGGGTCACAGGACGTATGTTGGATAGACAGAGACTGACATCTGGTGTCGATCAGAATGAATTACACAATAAGAAGTTGATAACTTTAACAACATGGCTTTAATACAGTGTTACAAAACAAAATTTGACTCAGAGCCACACCAGGTGATATCAGTGCACATGAACAAATGTGATTTCTTTATAGAAGCAAAGAGCTTGCTATTAACAGGCACGAAAGACAGTGTTTACAGATGTAATATCTCAGATTAAGTCATTAACTACTGAAGGCATAGCTGCCAATGATGAAACGATTAAAATCAAGCTTGTGCAAGAGAACAGGATTGGAGGAACAAAAAGGTATCTCCAAGAGGTGCAGAGTTTTAAGAGGTTACAGGGATGAGGGCAAACAAGGGATTTGGAATCAAGAATGAGAACTTTAGAATCAACACGGTGTTCAACTGAAAACCAGTATAGATCAGTGAAGGGATGAAAAGATATGAGACATGAGACATGTTGCATGCTAGGGTATGGGCAGCAATGTTTTAAATACGAAATAATATTTCAATTAATAACTAGCAAAAGATTCGTACAGCGATTTCTGCCAACTCCAATGTCCATTTGGAATACAATACAAGAAAGGGTCTTTCACCTCAGACCATTCCTTGCTGACAGGGAAACGTTGTTTTCTTCTAAAAGAGCTCCTCCTTTTTCAGAGAAGAGGAATGGGAACTAACTCGGCCGAAATTACAGTGGATACTGTAATTGATTTTGCTTTCCTTGCTGGCTGAGGACTACAAAATCAATAAAAATTACAATGATTTTCAACACAAGTCCTGCTAAATCATAATCTACAACTAAGTTTTTTTTAGAAGTCTAACATAGAAGTCTCCTCACTCAGGTAGTCATCCAGTCTTTCAGGAAAGAAAAAGATCAAATGCAACATCTAGGCTTTAGACTAGAGCCATTTTTAAGGCCTGCCACTGAAATCAAGACATCCAAGCCTGACAGCCACCCCAATTCATTGTTTTAGGGAACTTAACATTCCTAGCATTCAACTTAACATTCAGCAAATAAGCTTAAATGCAACAGATTTTGAACAGTTCCATTGAAGATAATTAGAAATTGTGCGATGCTGCTACAGATCAGCCACTTAGTATAAATGTTTCACTCCTTAATTTAAATATCAGGTAAGAGAAAAGAAAGCTGTTCTGTTTAAATACTCAGAATCATTACTGCTCAAGAAGGAGCCAATTCAGCCTGTTGTTTCTGCGCCAGCTCTCAGCAACAGCAACCGAATGGGTATTAAAGTCCTCTCCTTGCCCTACATGCTTTCAAAATTCTCTCTTCAGGTGCTGAATAAATTCCTGTTTAAAAGCCACAATTGCATACGCCTCCATCACACTCTCAGCTATCACATTCCAGATTCTAACTGCTCTTCATGTTTCTCCACATATTTCCATTGGTTCTTTTGCGAATCACCCAAATTTGTGCCCTACAGTTCCCAACCCTTCCATCAATAGAACAATTTCTCCTTTTCTACTCTGCCAGATCCCTAATGGTTTTGAACATCTCTATCAAATCTCCTCTCAAAATCTTTTCATCTCCAAGAGCTCCAGCTTCTCCAATCGATCCAGATAAGTGGAATTCCACATCTTTGCAGTTATTCCAATGAATCTTCCCTGAAATTTTTCTAATGCCAAAGGAATGCCAGTGATCCCAAGGCCACGGATCAATTCCTGGAACACTTGCCAAATGTGTGGTCAAAGATGTGGGTCTAGCATTGGGCTCATCAGCCATGCAAGTGCCCAAAGAATTAAAAGAACCCATCACTAGTGATACAAACGTTCCAAGGTAAACAATCATACTTTTTAGCAAGTGATTGGCTGTCTGTTCTAATTGCACTCAGGAAGGTGGTTGTGAACTGCCTTCTCCAGCTGCTGCAGTATATGGGGTGCTGTTAGGAATGCAGTTCCAGGATTCTGACCCAACAAGAGTGAAGTTACAGAAATAGAATTCCAGTTCAAAATGGAGGTGGCCCTTACTTAAGCTAACCTTGTCTTTCAAGGAAGGAGGGAGCAGATTAGGGTGCTGTTGTCCAAGAAGTCTTACTGAGATGCTGCAGTACATCTTGCAGATGGTACACACTACTGCCACTTGCATTGATGGTGGTGGGAGTGAATGTTGACAGTACTCGATGGGGTGCTGATCAAGCTGGCTGCATTGTCCTAGATTGTTTCAAGCTTCTTAACTGCTATTGGAGCTGCATCCATCCAGGCAAATATGGAGTATAGGAAGTGAGTTAGAATACTGAATTCCCAGCCTCTGACCTGCTGTTGTAGCCACAGTATGTATATGATTCTTCCAGTTCAGTTTCTGGTCAACGGTAGCCCCCCAGAATGTTGTTAATGCAAGATTCTGCCATTATAAGACCTTAAGACATAGAAGAAGTAGTAGGCCATTTGGCACACCAAATCTACTCCATCATTCAACCATATCATGGCTGATCTTATAATCCTCAACTCAACATTCTTTTTTCTCTTAATCTTTGGTTCCATTACTGATTAAGTATATTCAAGGCTGAGATAGATTTTTAATGACCCATTTCCTACAGCATCCTGCAGTAAAAAAAATTCTAGTCTCAATATCCTCAGAGAAGAAATTCCTTCTCATTTCTGTCTTAAACAGGCAACCCTTTAGTCTGAGTTTATGCCCTCTGGTTCTAAAATGTCCTAAATGGGGAAAAAGAATCTCTGGACATCTACCCTGCCAGGCCCACTAAAAATCTTATGGTTCAGTAAGGTCACCTCTCATTCTTCTAAACTACAATGAGTGTAGACCCAAACTCATCTACCTCTCCACATAAGAAAACCCTTCCATGCCCAGATCAACTGGGTAAACATACTCTGGACTGCCTCCAATCTCAGTATATCTCTCCTTAAATAAGGAGTCTAAAAGACTGTCCACAGTATTATAGGTGTGGTCTACCTGGTCTCGAGAAGTTTTAGCAAGATTTCCCTATTTCTCTACTCCATCTCCATTGACACAAAAGGCCAACATTCCATTTGCCTTGCATATTACCTGCTCAACTTGATTGTTAGCTTTATGACCCATACGCAAGGACTCCCAAATCCCTCTACACTGCAGATTCCACCACTGAAGCTCCTCTATTCCTGTCAAAATGTAAAACATCACATTTTCCGACATTACCTTTTATTTACCAAATTTTTGCAAACTCATTTAAACTGCTTATATTCTTCTGTAGACTCTATCATTCTCATCACTTGTTTTCCTCTCAATAATGCCATTGTACAGCAATGGTCATTGCTCAACACTTGCCATCATTTTTTTTTGGGGGGGGGGGAGGTGACATTGCAGTCAGCGATAATCAGCAGGATTTCACTGGGGCCTTGATCAATGCTGGGTGATCCAGCCAGTTTCATTCCTTTTATTTATAATGATTAAATTACAACTGAATGTCTGATCCAAAGAGGAGCTTGAATTCTGGAACAAGCTTCAACTTGAACAAATTTCAACAGCCTACATTCTGTCCTCCATATCTTAGGATAAATAGGGTGGTCACTAGGACTTTAAACTAGTGAGTTGGGGGTGGGGGGGGGGGGGGGGGAGGGAAAGGGAAAACGACAGGGAGAATGATGGTAAATAAAAAGGTAAGCAGCAGGTTAGCATGTGTGCAGGAGGGTTTAAGTTCAAGGCAGACAATGAAAGAAGCAAAAAGGAAGGATAACTCAGGAGATATTATTAGAGATGTTGGAAATCATGAGGGTAAGAAAGCTAGCATAAAGGCACTTTACCTGAATGCTCGTAGCATTCGTAACAAGGTTGATGAGTTAACGGCACAAATCATCGCAAATGAATATGATTTGGCAGCCATTATGGAGACATGGTTACAGGATGGTCACGACTGGGAGTTAAATATCCAAGGGTACCAGACTATTCGGAAGGACAGACAGGAAGGTAAGGGAGGTGGTGTAGCCCTGATATTCAAGGACGACATCAGGGCGGTGCTGAGAGATGATATAGGTTCTATGGAGAATGAGGTTGAATCCATTTGGGTGGAAATTAGAAATTCTAAGGGGAAAAAGTCACTGATAGGTGTAGTCTATAGGCCACCAAATAATAACATCACATTGGGGCGGGCAATAAACAAAGAAATAACTAATGCCTGTAAAAATGGTACGGCAATTATCATGAGGGATTTTAACCTACATGTAGATTGGTCGAACCAGCTCGGTCAGGGTAGCCTTGAGAAGGAGTTCATTGAGTGTATCCGTGATAGTTTTCTTGAACAGTATGTAATGGAACCAACGCGGGAGCAAGCTATCCTAGACCTGGTCCTGTGTAATGAGACAGGAATAATTAATGACCTCATAGTTAGGGATCCTCTTGGAAGGAGTGATCACAGTATGGTTGAATTTAGAATACAGATGGAGAGTGTGAAGATAAAATCCAATACAAGGGTCCTGTGCTTGAACAAGGGGAACTACAATAGAATGAGGGAGGACTTGGCTAAGGTAAACTGGAAACAAAGATTTTATGGTGGGACAGTTGACGAGCAGTGGACGACTTTCAAAGCAATCTTTCAAAGTGCTCAGCAGAAGTATAT